GAGGGGCAGGAGAGGGCACGGGCCGCCGGGGCGTGCACTGGGCGGCGGGCGCCGAGAGGAAGGCCCGTGTGTGGGTGCATGGCGCGTCCGGCGGGCCCCATCTCCGGGCTCGCTGGTGGACTCCCAATGGACGCGCCATCTCGGCCGGCTTTCCCGGGGCCCGGGGCGGGGGGGCGGGGGGGGCCTTCTTTTCCGAGCCCGGGTGCGTCGCGCGCCCGTTGACACTTGCTGTGCGCGCGCCGGCCGGGCGCCGCTGCGCGCACGAGCCCCGGCGCAGGGGTCCCCCGCCCCCGGTGCCGGGGAGATCGCCCCGGGGCGGGGGCGACTGTCGGCGACGGAGCCCGCTCGTCCGCGCCCCGCCCCGGCAGGCGGCCGCAGGGGCACGGGTTAACTTTTAAACCATTCCTCCCCGGGCCTGGGGGGGCCGCCCTGGCCCGACCCCCAGCTAGTGCACCCTCCCCCCTGCCGCCCCCTCTCGCCTTTGCTCCGCCTCTCGCCCTCGCGCGCGTCCCTACGCCCCACGATCCTCGCTGGCCCTCGCCCCCAGGCTCTCCCTCCCTGCTCTCCCCTCCCCGGGCCTCTTTCTCTCCCCCGGGTTTTCGTCGCCCGCCCACCGACCGCCACGGCGCACGTACACACACACACACACACACACACACGCACACATGGTCGGTCCGCATCAGCCGCCACCGCCGGCAGCTGCCCCCCTCCCGGCGGCCTACCCGTATGGCGCCTACTACCCGCCGGCGGCCGGCACCCCGGGCGCCTGGTGGACGCCGCCCGGCGCCGGGGTGATGGATCCCGCGGCCATGGCGGCGGCGACCACCCGCCCCCCGCCCGCCCCGATGGCCCTGTCGGCCACCTCGCAGTATGGGATACCGCCGGGGGGCCCGGCGTCGACGCCGGCCCCGGCGCCGGGCTTGGAGCCACTGCCGCCGGTGAGCAGCGCGCCGCGGCCCGGGCCCGGGCCCGGGCCGATGGCCGCGACACCCCCCGGCTCCGGGTATGCCCCGGTGTCGTCGGGGTCGGCCACGACACGGTCCAACTCGCCGGACCCGAGTGCCGCGGCGGCGGCGGCGGCCGCCGCCGCCACGGCCACCACGGCCGCCCCCCTGCCGGACTTCCCCCTGGGCAAGTCCCTGAGCCAGAACAACAATGAGCTGATCCAGTGTGCGTGCCGGCGCGCCGGTGCCCGCCCGCCCGCCCGCCCGTCTGCGCCCATGTGTCGGATGCTGACTCCCCCCCCCCCCTCCCTTGCTGCGGGCCGATTGCACTGTCCCTCCTTCTGCTCCCTCGGGGCCCGGTGCGCAGGCATCGTCCACCTCCGGCAGAAGCGGGACATCCTGCATGCCCAAATCCTCGAGGAGGATGCCCTCCGGATGCAGATCGACCAGGAGCTGCGCAATGTGGCCGCCCGGCTGGAGGCCCTGACGTCGAGCCTGGAGAAGAAACGCGCGCGCCAGGGCGCCCTGGACCAGGCCATCGCCGAGGCCGAGGATGCCTACAGCAAGGTGCGCTCCATGGCCTCCCTCCCCCCCCCCCCCCCAGGTGCATAGCCCTTTTCTCCGATCCAAGCCCTCGGGGCCTGACCCTCCTCCCTACTCTTGCCCCCCCCCCCTGTCGAGGGCCGCAGCTTGTGCAAAGCAGCCAAGTCCTGTTGAACTATGTGAAGCGCGAGTCGCAGGGGGGCCCTTCGGCCGGCGATTCCGGGTAGCCTCCCAGGTGCGCGGTCGTCCGGCTCTCGCTCCCCCTTGGGTGCCTCCCTCTGGGGGCCCGCGCGGGACCACACCCGGTGGCCGGGCCGAAGAATACACCACCCCCACACGGCTGCACATGCCCTGACGCGGCCTCATGCGCATAAAAACTCAACCAAGGACAGGTGTGTATTGCACGCACGTGGACGGGGTGGGGGGGGGGGGGCGCCGCGGGCGACGGAGCGAGCCGCGACACCACTCGGACGGCGTCTCTATAGAAGGCAGCGAGGCAG